TAGACATATACGTTGCTGCTCAAGTTATGTTGAGAAGTGTAATAGGATTTGGAAATTCTAGATCTAATTGAAAGAATGGAAGGGATTAAAAAGATTAAGGATGGTTTATAATTATATATGAGGTTTATTGGTTGAGTTTGCTTAGAAGGTTATTGATTTTAAATTATTGGAGATTTTTAGAAGTTATTAAAGAGTAATTGTTTAATTGGAATAAAAAGTCAAAGGATGTTCAAAATGTTTGGCCGAAGGATATAAGAAATAAAGGAAGTTAGGATTTGATATAAATGTTGAAGTTTGGGATTTTGAATTGATGATAAGATTGATTGAAATTTTGAAGTGATAGCTCAAAAGTATTCTGGAAGTATTGAAAGGGTATTAAGAGAGGATTAAGAAGGAAGTTAGAAATGATTTAATACAATGAAAAGTGATTTTCATGAACTTTAAGAGATGGAAACATAAGGAAATAGACTAGGAGTATAGCATAAATATAATGGGAAGTTTAGAGATCAAATGATTGAACTTAAGATTTAATTTGGTGCCCATTTTGGGGACCAAAGAATTTAAGCTGACTTGAAATTTATTATTTGAGGTTTGCTTGAGGTTTCCAAATGGAGGATGAAAATTTTAAATGAGTAAATTAATAGTTATAGTGTTTAAAAATTAGGCAAAATTATACAAAATTCCCTAAACTATGGGCCAGTTACGTATAATCTCCCTCATGTTTAAAAGTTTAAATTCAACCCCTCATCTTTTATTTTTTATTTTTTATTATGAACACTTACCGCTAACTCACCGTTATCTTTCTAACGAAATTTGCCATGTCAGATCAATATAAAAGACCTCGCATCCTATGTGGTATCTTACATGGCATCCCATCTAAGTTAATTTTATAAAACACCCCTGAACTTTAAGCTAGTTGCACATAACCCCCTAACATTTTAATGCTAAACTTCCATTACTTTTTCTTTTCCCATTTAATGCTCATCAAAACCTACTCATTACTTTCATTGCAACATTTTTACAATGTTATAATTTTATTTTATGATCTTAACAAATATAATTTATTAAGATTTTGACAATCTTTTATTAATTAAAATAGCAATTTTTGTGCGATAAAAATAAAATAAAAATTTTATTTAAAAAATTATGTTGACAAAAAAAAAAAGAATAAAAGCTCGACTTAATTGGGAAAAAAAAGGGTAATAAAGATAAATATTGGCAAAAGTGAAATACTGAACAAAGCTGGAAGGTTCATTTTGACGTTGTGAGGGTCTCATAAGAATTGAAAGGTAAAAGTTGCATTTCATTGAAGAGATTTAATGAGTAAGAGATTTTTTTTAATATAAAATGACATTTTAATCCTCATATAAAAATAATATAATTATAATAAAATGATTATATTGGATAGGATGCCAGATAAGATGCCACGTAGGATGTAAGGTGTCTTGTTTTGATTCGATATGGCAAATTCCGTTAAAAAGATAACGGTTAGTTAACAGCTAGGTGTTCATAATAAAGAAAATGAAAGATCAAGGGAGTTGAATTTAAACTTTCAAATATCAGAGAGGTTATATGTAGCTAGCCCATAGATCAGGGGTGTTTTGTATAATTTAGCCTAAAAATCATTTCAAGGTATAGGGCCATCGGAAACATTCATGAGTAATTGAGGATGTAGTGGTTTCCTAGTGTGCCGCACAACATTAATAACTAAATTTGTGATCTTATCGGTTGAACGTATTTTGACATATGATGAGTCATCTTTCGGTGGTGGAGGGTTGGATCCAATTTCAGTGCTTATCATCTTGATGAGCACCTTATGTGAGATATTTATTATATTAATAGCTATTTAGATATTATTAGGATAATTAATAAATATCATGAGTGTGGTCCGTAGTTATTTTGGGCCTAGTCCAAGATGGGTAATTGACTCAGTTAATTAAAGTTAATTTTCTGATGGCGAAAAATAACATACAATATACTGAGTCTAGAGCGAAACCCTAATTCTCTTCTCTGCTCACTCTCTGAGGGTTCCTCGCTGGTGACAGCTACATTCCAGTTGCTCATCATTGTGCCCAATCATTAGCTGGAAGATTTCCTGTATTGTTTTCTCTAATGGTGTTCTTGGATTCAAAGCTCCTTATCATTCAGATCAAGTTCTACATCAAATCAACTGAGCTAATGGCAAGAAGTATTTATAAGTCTTCCGCTGTAACTCTTTTGAGTATCATATATATGTATATAATCTGGATTGATTAAATAATATATACATGTGTTGTTTTGGTTACACCTTAAACTCATCAGATCTGAATTGTCCGTATCTTATATGGGTGGTCTGAGTTTGATCTCTTTTTCATATTTATTTGCTCTAAATAATTATTTTAATATGTATAAATTTTAAAATAAAAATAATCTCTTAACTATTATTTTTTAAAAAAATAATTTTTTCTATTTAAAAATAATTAATCAAAAACTTTAAATCTAGATTGTTCAAATCAGATATAGACAGTTTAGATCTGATGAGCTTAAAGTGCTCATCAAAGTGATAAGTACTGAAACTAGGTCCATGAAGGATCATTTGTATAAATTAAAACGCACAACAGAAAAATGTATTGGGAGAAGAGTAAACCGCAGAGCAATGGGCTAACAAAAGGGACATAAACACAAGTCCTCTTACTTAGAGAGAGAGAGAGAGAGAGAGAGAGGTGAAGAAACCTAAAGACGTAGTAAATCGCTCATCTGTTATGTTTCACGTTCAACAAGCTAAGAATATCATATTAGAACCCAACAAAAGGACCTTGAAAATTTCCTCCTTAACCGTTCGTTTGATGCCGACCACGTTGGTTCCTGTCGTTGATGATACAGCCGTTGCAATCTCCTAATTGTCCTGTATTGTTTATAATATTGCAAATGTTTTGTGAGGAAGGAAGAGAGGTCCCAGTAGTATTGTTGCCATCAGAGACTACACTTGCTGCATTATTTTCCATCAACTGTCTCCGAATATCGTTTGCTTCCTTCTTAACATCATGTGGAGGAGGCTCATCGTGATTATTGATGTTAGGAATACGCAGTCCGGCACGCTCATTCGAAACTGTAGTGTCTACCATTAGACCTCTAAGGATCACAGGATATAAGCACACGGTTATGAAGAAGATGCAAAGGAGCCTTTGAATCGAACACAATTTCATAATTTTGCTCCCCTTGTTTATGGAAGGCCGACTGATTTTTTCTTCTTCCCATGACATAACTCAAATACAATAGCACAGGTCCCACTGATCTTCGTCTTCTCACAGTGAAATTCTCACCAAATTCTTGGGCTTTAAAGGGACCAAATTTGTAAAGCCCATTGCCATCATCTCTCATAGCCACAAGCTCTATGTTTACTGCCACCAGATTATCTCCACAGAAGGCATCACAGAATGTGAGAATCAGCTTGTCGTGACACTTGCTGTAACAAATAGTGCAAATTCCTGGATTTGTGTCCCACGCTCTGTAAGCGCAAGCGTACTCCTCGCCTTATTCACTTCTCCAATTTTATACATCACAGCTCACCATGTACAAATTGCTAAACGAGGAATCCATGTATTTGCATTCATAGGAGGGATATATATGTGTATATATATCTCACTGAGGCTAGACCGGAGAAGTCTATATTGGATCATGGCCAGTATTCAGTAATTGAATTAAATAATATGTATAATGTGTCTGTCAAAAACTTGCATAAATGCCTGAGAATAACTTTTGTAAATGGAGAACCCTATTCCCTTTAATCATTCATTAAAATAAAGAAAGTAAAAGAGCTTTTTTTGGTTAAACTATCTTCACATGAACACTGGGTACCTTAAACATTGCAATGGAGCTACATTGAGTCCGATGCTTTCCTCTCTTTAAGGACCCAAACATTTCGTCTCTCTCTGTCTCTGGTGCCTTAGCCTCCAGTCCTTTCTCAAGTATCGAACTTTCACACGCTCCATTTCCCAAACCGCCGGGTCAATCGAATCTGAGATTCAAAATGGCATACGCCGCAGAAGCGTTGGCAACTTGAGCATAGCTCACCCTGAACCTATTTGCGACAAGAAGCTAGGAATTGGTGAAGCTCTTGGCTCAATTTGAAGAAGGATCAACCTCTCCTCTGCCCCTCCTATACCCTTCTTTTCCTTTTACCACCATTAAAACAAAATTTTAATAATCCAGATTTAACATTTTCTAAAAATAAATAATATTATAATTTTGAAAAAAAATTTAAATGGTTTAAATTTGATCCAAGTACTATAGACTATTATTATAAAATAGATTTTTTATTAAACTATTTGTTATTGTTTTTTCGTTATGGTTGTAAACTGTTCAGATCAAATATTTACAGTTATATTTATTCATGTATTTTTTAATTAAAATTATAATAATATTAATTTTCATGAAACTTAAAATCTGAATGATTAGAATTGGAGTTTTGATCCATTGATGAGGAAAGGAAAACGGGGGCAAAGGAGCGATAGAGGAGTGGAGGGGTAGAGGAAAGAATCCTCTTCCTTTGAAGAGTGGGTTCCAATGTTTCATATATAAATTAATAATCAACAAGATCTTATAATTAGGACAGGAGACAGTATCTTCAATAGAAATGTGTTTATATTTTAAAAATATGCGAAAGAAAATTGTATAAATTTTCACAAAGGTTCCGTTGAATTATAACTGCATGATTTCTCTTCTCTAGACGTGACTAAGAATTTCCACCAAAGGATAATTACGATAAAACAATCCATCATCAATAACTCCAAAAATGCGCATCAACACTCTAAGAAGTCCACATTACAGTTAACAACATAGTGGATAGCTTAACAAATTAATTACTCAACTTGCTTACAATTAAAGCTATCATCATTCTCTACAAGATTATAACTAATTTATTAATTTATTCTGTATGTGCTCATGAAGGCATGAAGGCGCGATGGAAGAGGAAGAGATGAACATGATACACATAAGAAGGAAGATTATATACGTGTGAGTGTATATATATTAATGTATCATTTACATTAGTTTTCACAAGAATAAAGTGTTTAAATATCCCAAAAGTGTCTACAAAAGAGCACCCAAGACCTAAATTTTTTTTTTTTTGCTCTTATATACCCCGAAAATTTTATTTCATGGCATTTCTGTCCTGAACAGTTATTTACCAGTAAGTTTAACTGTTAAAGACATCTGTTAAACTGTATAATTTAATGGTCAAACTTAATAATGGATAAGGGTCATGATATTTTTGCTATGAAAATAAACTTCTAGGGCATGCACAAGTAAAAATAAAAAATTTAGGTGCTGAGTGCTTCTTCCTGCATACTTCCAAGACATTTAAGCACCTTATCCCGATATTAAGAATAATCCCAAACACTTACAATAATAAGATACATATACAGATTGATGATGTACAGTACTTGTTCTGGCTTTCAATCTTGAGACAGAGCGAGAGATTGATTGAATTGAAGAAGCTAACGAATCTGAGAACCCATAAACTAAAACCTATTGCCTTCTATATGAATTTGACAGTCTCTGAGGTTGGAGCCATTGAGAAGACCTTGATTTTGTCCTGTATTCGAAATAACATTGTCTTGTGAATAGGAAAGAGAAGCCACAACAGTATTGCTGCCATGTGAGATTGCACTTCCTGCATCTTCCATCAACTTCCTCCGAACATCATATGCATCCTTTACAACATCATCATGTGGAGGCTTCGATATTTTAAAATTCTGCAGTTCTCTGTAACGCGCACGTGGCCAGTCTATAATTAGACCTTTGGAAGAATCACAGGATATTTGCACACTGTAATGTAGAGGCTCCAAAGGAGACTCTGAATCGAATACAATTTCATATTTCGCCCCTCGTCTACGGAAAGCTAATTGATTTCTTCTTCTTCTTCCCATTTCATAGCTCAAAAACAATACCTCAGGTCCCATGGGTCTTCGTCTTCTCGCTGTGAAATTCTCACCATATTCTATCGCTTTAATGGGACCAAATTCGTAACGCCCATCATCGCCATCTCTTACAGCCACAAACTCTATGTTTACTGCCACTATATTATCTTCACACAAGGCATCATAGAATGTGTAAATCACCTTCTCGTGACACTTGCTTTTGCTGCAGTAAGTAGTGCAAATTCCGGGTTGTGTCCAACGCACGGTAAAAGATAGCGTACTCCAATCCAAATTTACTGCTCCATATGTGATAATCGAAACTCACCTTGTCCGAAACGCTAATCGAGGAACCCATATGCTATATCTTTCATCGGCTCATAAGCCTAGTACACTCGAGGAAGAGGGATATATTTTTATATTATTGAGGCGAGACTGGAGAGGTATATATTGGATCATAGCTAGGTAGTACTTGGTAATTGAATTAGATACGTGTAATGTTGCTGTGAAAAACTCGGATAAATCCTTGAGGATTACTTTTCCAAAGGAGAACCCAATTCCCTGTAATCATTCATTAAAATTAAAAAAAGATTAAAAGGTATTTTTCTTTTAAATCATATTCACAAAATTATTATGTATTCAAAATTTTTAAGTAGTATTTCTCTGGTCTTAAATATATTACCTATTTTATAGTATAATTGACATTACAAAATACATCTTACATTTTGGACCAGAGACGTATATCATTATTCTTATTAATTCCTCCATTTTTATAAGAAATAATTTCTTTCATCACAATATGTGGTGTCTATAAATATAAAAAATAAATCTTCTTTGTGTGAAATTGTAGACTAATCTTTTAACTTTATCTTTATTAAATATATGCTACTTATTATCTATCCGCAATAAATTTCTACTTATTATCTTTTATTCACAGACTCTCTTTTGCAAATCAGGTTTTAAGTAAAATATACGTATATCTTGCACATCTAGTGCCTTTAACCGCATTTAACTATTTTTGACCTGGATTTTAGTCAAAATCAGTTAAATTACTTTGCAATGTTACCGAGCCAACTTCAGATAAATTTAAGGAGTGGGCCCACAATAGGTGACAGAAGTCTTTTTTTTTCCCGACCAAAATACTCTCACTTTCCTTCAAATTCCCATACAGAAAATACATTCCGCTGCTGCTGCTTCTTCTTCTTCTTCTTCTTCTTTTCTCTCTTCCCCCTCTGCTCTAGCGGCGATGGAAGACCCCCAAACCAAACCATCGTGCCCTACGATTTCTCCAAGTCCTCCAAGCTCTCAAACAAGCTTCCCACGATGCACAAGCCACCCTATATATGTCTGACGAGGAGCAATTCGTGAAACTTTTTGTTGAATTTGAAGAGTGGGTTTGACCACAACAGCCTCGAATTCCAGGACCCGGTTCTCTAATTGAAAGTGTTTTCTAAAGAAGGTACAGAGTCTTAGCAAGGCAATAAGAAAAAAACAATAGAAGACGACATTTGAATATTGTATTCATCGATATAATGCTGTCCAGTGCAGTGGCTATATATAGCCAAAGGTGCGATACAGGTGAGAAAGGAGCCAATAGACACGTAGCCCTAGAGAACTATCTAGAATATTATAATGGACTCAAATCATCTTTTATCAGTGATGGGCTTGGGCTCTTGTGTTGTTACTCTAAACAGCCCCCCGCAAGTCGAACGGCATCTGAGTGACAGTGAGACTTGATCTTAAAATTTGAAGCGAGGAGCATCCAGGGCTTAGTAAAAAATCTGCTATTTGATCTTTGGATGACACGATAGAAATTTGCAAGGATTTAGCTGCAACTCGTTCTCTGACAAAGTGATAATCCAACTCAATATGTTTAGTTCTAGCATGCATCACAG